CCCGAATATGAAGTTGTGAATCCGCGAAAATTCAGACAATTCCCGTTCCGGAGAAAATACAGGCCGGCATTTCGGAACGGTGATTAAATGGGCGCGCACGGATGCACAGGCATAGTTTAGGGAGGGCGGTGCCATCTGGGGTCCTCATGCCTCTTCGCTATTTCTGAGGGAGCTTCCAGACCGCGCCGGGACCGCGCCGGTTGTCGCTTTTGCAGCCGGTAGCTGCTTTCGTGCCGGTTGCCGGTATTGCAGCTGAAACGCACTACGTCAGATTTTGTCCTTGGGCGTGGCCTATTGGCGCTAGATGCTAGGCTTTTCGATTTCTTTGTCATCACTCTTTAATTTCCAAAATTCTTTTCTTTGCTGTAGTAATTCATTGCAGATATGGTTCATTTGATTTGGATTCCTTTTTTTTCGGTCGTCTACGATGCTGAAAAAATCGATTCATTGTCGAGTGAAATCCGTTTAGTCTAAATCCCGCTGTAGAGTAATGTTGGATTGCAAGGCAAGGCCTTTTCGACGTTTATCTCGTTTTGAAACTGGTTTACTATGCTGGATAAGCAAGTGCGAAAGTACTTTCTTTGTTTTTGAAGCTGTTTTATCGTGCCGTAGCAGCAATCTAGCTGCAGAACTCAAATTCTCTGTACTGTTTTTGCTTTTGGTACTTCACTATGCTGACTAACGATCTATATCGAAGCGAAGTCATTTGGTGCCTTCTCCTTCTCCTTTCAACGTATATACCTTTACTTCAGCATAGCAAAATAGCTAACCTTGAGTAGTTAACTTATATCAGTAAGTGTACTCAAGCAGTATAGTAGAGCTATATAGTATAGCAGTATAGTAGCTTTGAAATTAGTACTGCAAAAAACAGCGTTTTGCGATGATATCGTTCACTAAGCAGACCAACCTCAAATCGGAAAAGACATCGAGAATCCTTGCCTGCATACCAGAGCAATATCATCAAAACGAAAGCTGTGCAAAAAAATAGCGTTCCGCGAAGACCTATTAGCTCCCAGATGTGTGGAGGCGGGTTGCGGGCTTCCCCTGATCTTAATGGTAAAGTTAACGAAAGAGTACGAAAAAACAATGCCGCATGAAGTTCCAATATTCACACTTACATTCAGGGAAAGTCCGCAACCCGATGTCCTTAATAGAAGTAGCATAGCTTCAAAACTAAAGACAAATTTAAAAAACTTTGTTCTACGAAACTGATCAACTACCGTAAAAGAATAGCCTTAAAACGAATGAAAGGCAAATCGCCTTTTATCACTTTTTTGCCTAAAGAAACAACTCTACAGCGGGAAGTAGATTGATTATTCGACAATAAATTGATTACTCCAGCATCGTAGATCCTCCAATGAATTACTTGCGGAAAGAAGAAGACCTTGGAAAAAAGTGGTGGCAAAAGAATCGAAAGGCCTTGTATTTAGTGTCAATAGGCTCCCGCGACGCTCCAAGGACAAAATCTGACACAATGCGCTTCAGCTGCAATAGCGACAACCGGCGCGAAAGCAGCTACTGGCTGCAAAAGCGACAACCGGCGCGGTTTTGGCGCGGTCTGGAGGCTCCCTAAGCCGTTTTCTCGCTTCCGAAGTGACATTTTGCGCCGCGACTTGGGCAGCATCACCTTGATGAGTGACCCTATTATCGTAAGCGGCCAACTGAACGGAGCGCTAAAGATGAATATTGGAAGCAGAAGCACTTTACTGCACGCGCGGACAATCCCAGGATATCGGGAAACAGATCTGCCCGAATTGTAGATTCTTACATAGATGTCAACTCTTAATATTACTCCCAAAAGCTATGGTGTACTGCTTTTGCATGCAAAAGATCCTTATTCCCATTTTATTAAAAGTAAAGCACTTGTTCTACATAAACAATCTCCATTATTTGAGAGCGCTGCTAAAATCCGATGAGTGTTCGGTGTCAAATCTGGCGCTTTGCGACTATTGAGCAAAACACATACTCAGCAACGGGCAATGTCGGTTGAGGAAGAATGCGACACACTTTCAACACTTTCAACACTGGCAACACTTTCAACATTGGCAACACTTTCAACACTTTCAACACTGTCAACACTTTCAACACTTTCAACACTGGCAACACTTTCAACACCGGCAACACTTCAGCACTTCAGCCAAATGAGGGTTTCTGCAGAGAGTTACGATTTCCGAAAAAGTTAAGTTTGCACCGTTTGAGAGCAAGAAGTGATTTTTCAAAAACTGATGCGACAGAATTTTGCGCCTAATAGTTGCTGCTCAAAATGGAGTTAAGACGCCTCTGGGAGTTTTCAGGACAGATTTAGGTTAATTTTTTGCCTGACAGTATAGCTGACGATTTACCATTGGCTCTCGAGTATGTATCATCATGACTTATAATAACGGGCTAAGTGTGTGTGTGTGTGTGTGTGTGTGTGTGTGTGTGTGTGTGTGTGTGTGTGTGTGTGTGTGTGTGTGTGTGTGTGTGTGTGTGTGTGTGTGTGTGTGTGTGTGTGTGTGTGTGTGTGTGTGTGTGTGTGTGTGTGTGTGTGTGTGTGTGTGTGTGTGTGTGTGTGTGTGTGTGTGTGTGTGTGTGTGTGTGTGTGTGTGTGTGTGTGTGTGTATATATATATATATATATATATATATATATATATATATGTATGTGTATGTGTATGTGTATGTGTGTGTGTCTGTAACGAAATTCACAGAGCGAGTCGCAGACAAGATTTCAAGCCGCAACTTTTCGCACGACACACATTGCTACCATCCAGATTCACCATGTCAAAGCACGAGCAGATTCGTTGAGTAGGTTCCTCAGAAATCGCACCCCAAACGGATCCACTCCACGTCTGGTGCGCAATATTGGGTCCATATTACTACTTATTGCAAAGTCGTGATTATGTTTGGCGAGTAAATGTGCAAGTCATGATCTTTAGCCCAAAAATAGTGATGGAAGTCTATTACTTAATGAAAACGCGCCAATACGAATCATTTGCGTAAGTGCTCAATTTGCCATGTTTTTACCTGAGCATTTGAGAAGCTTTTTGCACAGAAATGTGGCTCATCATGGATATTACCCTACCCTCATGGCGACTACCAAACCATGAAATCAGTCAAAAGTGTTCCAATTCCATTTGTTTTTCGTCTTCCAAAGTTTCATCCACGCAAAATACCGATCTCACACGAAAAAGCTTTCGAAATAAGTAGTTGTTTACGATTCGAAAAAGGAGGACTGGATGAGTTTGTTCAGTTACGACTATGTATCAACTTAATATCGTTTGATCGAAATTGTACTAACAAGGGAAGGATACTAACTTAAATTCGCCTTTTGACATCAGACATATATATATTTAGAATCAGCTTAGAACGCTTATCCCAAATATGCCGTTCCTAGCTGTTTAGCATTATTCTGAAGCGAGTTATGATCTCTTTTCTATACAAAGTTTGCGTGCTTCTCAATCTAGTGATGCTACGGTGTCGACGTCTAGGTGGTTTTGCAAATGTATAATGCTCCCTTTCAAGATCGAAAGAATTAATCTGATGCTAGTTTAACGTCCTAGCACTTTTTTCGAGCAGATACTAATCTACACGCCGTCCTATGGCATTCAGAAGTTTGTTAGTTACTCACAGCCGCAAGCCCATAACTCGCTCTGGAGTAATGCTAAGCAGCTAGGAACAGCATATTTGGAATCAGCATTCAAAGCTGATTCCAAATATATGTGTCTTATCTCAAACGGCAAATCTAAGTTAGTATCCTTCACTTGTAAGACCAGGAGTACTCGGTCTGCAACAAGATCATGCTTCGAAACCTCGCACTTAAGTCACTCACTTCTAAGTGCATGTTTGTTCGCATCTCTGTAAAGGGCGCTTTACTTCGCCTGAAGCCTCAACTTTTGCAGAGTCCTCTGTTCTTTATCTTTGGGGAGTAAAATTAATCTAGAGCTCGTCCCCAACTCATTCAGGCTTCTTAACTTTTAGGGGTGTATGTCGAAAGGAGCGCGTTTCGCCATCCGTCATTGTCAGACTGGATCAGTTCTCTACAAAAGCGAGGTTTCCAGATTCCAAGATTTGTCAATACTCAGAAAGCGTAATAAGGATAACCAGTTGAAACTCGAAAATATTGAGAGAATTTTGAACTTATTACTTCCTTCTCCCAGTTAATAACAATCGGTCAATACGCGCCATTCGACCGTCTCCCAACTTTTAGCACCACATTACAAAAACTCATCTACCCATCTCACTGTTCGAACTCACATCCCTTAGGCCTCGGGCAGAGTTCACGCGATTAGACCATCGCGGTTCAGTCTCTACAAGACAAGTGTTACGACATTGCATGCCGATCTTCTTGCTTTTCGGCTGTAAAATTTTCCAACACGACTAATCGTGACTAACTATCACAACCGAAATACAAGAAGATCGGCATGCAATGGACTCGTAACACTTGTCTTGTAGTGATTGAATCTCGACGATCAAATCGCATAAACTTTTCCCGAGGCCTCGCTCAACCGTATTCCTATTTATTTCGTGCTTCACACACTGAGAATCTTACCGACTCCACTTGCATCTCCTCATACTGCTAATTTACATGTAAACTCTGTCTATTAGTTATTTATTCGCTTGTATAAATTTGTATTTACCAATAAAATCTGTTTGCAAAATTTTGAGATTAGTATTAAGCTTACTCTGTGTATCTGCTCCAGTCAAAAAACGAGCAACTACCATTTGAGTCTATCAGCTCAACCAACCCAATTACCAAGGATAGAAACCACTGCAATTCTTACAAAGCCCTTCTAAGTAAAGTTTGAAAGTCTAGCGCAAACCGGAAAACCGAACTAATTATTCATTGAATCATACACTTTTTTCAATTTATTATGCAATTGAGCGTTCATTCTCATTTGCTGAACAGTCATTTATCTCATTTTATCTGTGCGCTCGCTCACTTTTTGTGAGATGTGAGGGAGAGAGATGTTGCTCGCTTGATTGCGGAGTGCTTGAACACACACAGTGTTGGATTTTTAGGAAAGAGTGACAGCATAAACATCCGATGCGACGACTTTTCTTCAGTCTTGGCCTACTTATTGCAATGGTGAGCTACTGATTTCTATCGAAGTTGGATCGATTGACCTCACTTCCATATTATAAACTCTCATGAGACAATACGCATAACAATCTGAGAATTATGAGAGGTTTTGCGGAAGTCATCCGGCATACTTTTGCAAGTAATGGTCCTTTCAGATAGCATACTACGAAAATATTGTGTGTTAGCGATGAGATTGTGTGAGCAGATTGGGCTAGGTAAACAAAAAAATTTGAATGATTTTATCTAAGATGTTCTCCATCTAACAAGGGAATGGTAAGAATCGAAATGGCCAATTTATACAAGCTGCATACCACTCGATGCCGCATAGAGTGCTGATCTCAAATCTGTCTTCCATATCTGCGGAGCACCTTTATAGGCGCAGTTATGAGCAGCTTTACTGCGAATAAACTGTGTAAATAATTGCGCAATTAGGCGCATTATTGCTCTTTCAGCTCATCTCTAAGTACGAGTCATATGAGCGGCCTAGTTGCATGTTTTGGTCCAACACTGAGCCAAGAATGGCTTTATACGGCCAAGTTTGCACTTTACACGCACAATTTCTTAGAAAAATAATGGCCTTCAGCGGCTGGCTTATAATTTCGTCCACAAAAGCGCTCTGCAGATAAGAAAGACAGATATAGTGTCAGCGTTTTATGCTGCATCTAATGGTATGCAGCTTTGCCACTTCGACTTTCAACCACTCTCTTGTAAGCTAGTGACACATCGTAATCCGATGAGATTATCTGTGCAGCAAGCAAGAATTAAGCTATTAAACCTTCTTGTGGTGGCTTTTTTCTTGCTTTTGGCCGAATATTCACTCCGCACCAACAATCAAAGAAGCTGCAGAGATGATACGAGAATGAGGAAAGCAGAAAAATTTTTCGTAAGTTGCTTATGTGTAGTCAGTGTAGTAATTGCTTGGTTTTTGAAAAGAAGTACTTTTTGACTTTAATAGACGTCGGAGTCGTCAACTGGCACGAGATATCTACAGTTACTCTAAGCGTAAGCGTAATGATTCTTATTTCGGGTTTCTTATCTGCAGAGCTTTCGAGAATAAAGTTGTGAGCGATTTTTGGGTGGGTTACGTCGCATTTGCAAATTATTTGTTTCTTTGACTCTGAATAAGTTTCTAGAAAAGCCTAGAATTTCAAGCCTTTTTCATTTTCATACCCCTCCACAAAATTTTGTCTTTTTGCAAGACAATTTTGACTTTTGACTGACTTCTTTGACATGTTTCACCATTTTTCAGAACCACTGCCAATTCTCACATCATAAAATCATCATACACATTGATTTGAAAGGTATGTCAAGAAAAAGTAGTACGTTTTGCCTCGTAGCCATTATGAAAAATTTGCCGACAGAATAATTTGCGCTTTGTGAAACATGCATGTAAAATGACTAAAAAACATGCGACGCAATTAGAGGGTTAGACCAGACTTCGCGGCATACGTGCGTACGCCGCGTACACTGCGCAATCTGGCCAACCCAGAACTCATCAAGAAAAGATCTATACATGCGGGAGAACAGTTTTGCCAAACCATTACACATTCGCTTACTCCATAAGGCACAAAGTAAGGTACATCAACACGCTAAAGGCGCATTGAGGTCAGCATTTAACCATGTTTAATTGCGTTGTATAATACGCTGTTTAATTACTGCTGCACACTCTATACCATTTGCCATCTACAATCATTCCTACAAAGCTTGAAGCTCTTTACCTTTGTAAGCTCATTCTGGTTCAAATATCCTTCCAAAAGCCTTTCTGTAAACTATTCATGAGGACCGGCAGATTGGCCACATTTTCTGTATAGTTGAAACCCCAAAATGAGAGTTACATCTCGAGTCATTTGTAGCTTAATATGTGAGACTGCACACTATGTCCTGATAGCGACGGCACCTTACTAGTAATTATCCAGTGAATCATCTTCTAGCCTAACAAGGTTTAGAAATGTGTTCTATTGACTAACATATAAGCAACAAAACAAAAGATACAGGGAAACAAGGAGAAACACTGAAGATGAGCAGGTTCTAGTTTTGTAGATCGTCAGTCAGCGTGTTTAGTGTACACTACGCATATTAAGTTAAGAATGACTCGACAGTATCTGCATGACTTTTATACTTTTTTCATCATTATTTTTGCGCTTTCATATGTCCTAAGTTTTAACATTCTCTTAAAATCTGTATCTGTGTTTTTTCTCCTATGTAAAAACTGAGAGATGTGTTGGTGTCAAAAAGTGTCCCGTACAATCCAGTATTCATGTGCTGTATGCATGTAAAATATCCCTAAATCAGCAGTTTATTTGGGCTAACGCTTGCAGATCACAACTAATGTCAAAAATAAGAGCCATAAAAATAGCTTTCAGAATCCCATCATCTATCTATTCAGGGGAGTAAGTCTAAAGGTGTTGGATCCGGGCCCAACAACTGACCCGGCTGGTCACGCAATCGCGCCTTTGTCTGGTCTTGATTTCTCCATTAATGAATGAAGTACCCTTGTCAGGTTTTGATAGTGTTAAGTAGTGAGCCCCCAAGTAAACCTAGTAGCCCCAACCCCCTCTTCTACTTCATGCGCTAAGTCCTCAAAACGCGCTTTAAAAGTCCAGCAATGACGCCCAGTTAATGGATGGGGGGTGGGAACTGATGGATTTTTGAGGCGCCTATTTGGGAATTCGCGCAGAATTGGAAGATGGGGTTGGGGCTACGGTCTACTTGGGGGACTACGACCAAGCACTACCAAGATCTGACAGGGGTTTATTTTGGCGAGGTACTGCCTATAATGGAAGTTCAAGTCCTTTAAATACCGAACTGCTTGAACCAACCTTCTGTCGAAACGCAAACACAGTTTACGCTTATTAACCAAAACGAAAAAAAAATGGAGAACTTTGAAACCGCCTTATTCTTTTCAAATACTCTGATTATGAATCTCTCGCACGCGTAGGCGGTCTCTCGGCGCATCTTCTAGCCGGCATGCCGTCAATCGCAACTTTTTGCATTGAAGCAACATAAATAATCAATAACAACAATGACTTCTGAAAACGATAACTAAAACTATAGATACATCAATAACGAAAGACATTCAGCATAATTATTACTTGACTTAAGACACATTAGCCCATGGTATAAATATCAACAATTACCCTCAAGTAAATTTTTGCTCATCTTTGATTGTATAATTCCGAAATGCAGCAGACGTAACATAGAATGAGTGGTCATCTAGACACTGAAATTTGAAGTCAGTGAAATTACTGCTGGAAAAAACAGCAAAAGCTTACGGTGAACTCGTGTACGTGCTAACCCTAATCACCCTATCGGTTGGGAGAGTGTCTTTATTTGAGTAAAGAATGCGTTTGCCATAATTTAGTTTTTGAAATAGTTAGGACAGCATCCCTTTTAACTGACCCCAGAGGATAGTGCGAGGTTGGCAATCTGTCGTATCCTGTAATTATAGCTCAATCGTTGATAATTGTTAGAACCAAGAATTTGTCGTCTTTATAAACCAGTCATGCGCTAGTATTCAAAACACCAAACTTATTTGTATGTCGCAGCACCCGAGAAAAACGGGAACATATCAACCTTACTCAATTCCTTGAACTCAAATCAACTTTTCTCTCCTCTCACACGTGTGCATTAAGTGTAACTTCAGGTGCACCTCCACGACCGTCTTATTTCAAGCAGCTACTGACAACCATTTCCGATGTAGGCGCAGATGGAGTTTTGATCGAATGGGAGGTGTGAATACATTTTGATCAAACTATTAATGAAAGTTATTGGGGTTGTGAGTGGTTATTGAGTGCAATCTCTTTTCCAACTCTGACTTTATAAGTATGATGACTAGCATTCAAAATTGCATACATCTTTATAGTGACTCTTCAAATCAACCTTCCATATCTAAGAATTTTGGAAAAGCTATGAGCGGTTAAATATGTGACTGGAAACTAATGCATAATGAGCTTTGGAATCCAAATTGGGATTGCGTGAATAACATGACATTAAGGATGGTTTCAAGCAATGCTCAAACCATGAACACATTAAGTGTTTTTAGCAACTGGTTCTTGAAAGTGTGGCATTAGATGTCTGTCAAATTTAACCTTCTGAACGCTCATAACTTTTTCGAAAAAACGACATTGCAGATTGAGGATAAGTCTGGAATTAGCTAGATCGCATTGATGTACGTTTCATTTCAGTTCCCCACCTCAATTTGGGATTGTTTTCTTTGTTGGGTACAGGGTCAAGCTTGTGATGCGACTGTCGCAACGGGGGTCGTAAAGGGGGCCTACGGTAAGGGGGGGGGGGTCGTAAGAGGGAGTAGTTTGGATAAAACCGTACGATTGAAAGCAAATCAAATAGCAAGTAATTATTACATGTTCTCAACAATAAAACATGGAATGTCGTGTACCAATGTATCAAATAAAAACGAGTGAACAATAATTTGAAAACATTTGCAAGCGTAGAACTTCGCTTCATTTGCTGCACTTTTGAAAGGTTATAATTTTTTCTTTTTTTATGGGAATCGCTATTTCTCCCGCAAAATATTGTCTCAAACGGGGATCGAACCCTGCTGGCATGACTAAAATCCAAAAAAATAAACACTTTCAGAAGCTCAAATGCTACTAAAGGCATGCATGTGTGATAAAGACGTTGGATGTACCGATTGGTGTAGACATCCTGCTTCCGAAGGCTCACTGAAGACTCGCACACACGACAAAAGCGCACATGTAGATCAACGATGACAATCAATAATTCGTAAATCTTTTTGTAATGCCATTTATGCGGCCCTTACAATTTATATGTACTTAAGACAAGCCCTGCTACTGCTGTGCAAAATCTGGTATTATTTTATAAACTGCGGATTTTCTTATGATTTTATGTATGGTAGCAAGAAATGAGAAAAGGGGGGTCGTATCTGCGCCTGATCTAAATTTCTCCGGAGCTATTGAAGCTTGTTAGCTGCAAACTTGCTTTAATACGAGGCCATTGCTCTAGTTTTTATCATAAGAATTTCAGGCTGTTGTATAATTTCTCTGACAAGTTACAAAATTTTAAGCTTAAAAATCCTAGTTTTTGCTTTTTAGGATCGCATCTAAATTTGCCAGAGCCTGACTCTTTTTGAGTCTTTCAAACCCTTTGAACAGCTCAGAATACAAGAACCTTTCTAAGGAATTATCGTTTCATTTACGACGCTATTTGCAGCAAAAAGAAAAGAGAATGGCTAAACAAGTCCGCAAGCGAAACCTTTGGGTCTACTTGAAGAAACATTTGAAAGAAAATAAATTCTTTGGTCCTCTAGAAGATATTGATGGAAATATCTATACCACCCCCATCACTAAAGCTGAAGCACTAGCAGACCACTTCGCTGGTATATTTTCCAACCCTTCAGATTCATGTCCCTTATTGCTGAACAGATCTTCGGAGTCTTGTCCTTCACCAAGCATTGAATCTCATGATATTCGAAAGCTCTTGAAAAAAGTAAGCCCAGCAGTTTCGGCTACTTCCGATAATATTCCAGCAGTCTTTTATAAAATGTTTGCCAATGAGTTGGCCCTCCCACTGGCACATATTTTCAACGTTTCGCTGATGAATGCGGAAGTCCCCCACCTGTGGAAATCGGCCATTGTCACTCCCCTACCAAAGACCTCTCATAAACCTAAGCTCTCCGATTATAGACCAATAAGTATTCTTCCAACGCCTTGCAAAATACTTGAGAAGATTATTGCAAAGAATCTCATGCAGTGGCTAGAGAGAATTAAGTGTCTCCCCGAGCAACAGCATGGCTTTCTACGAGGTCGATCTACAGGTACTCAGCTTCTCGATTGCCAGTTTGACTGGACCGAGGCACTGAGCCGGAATCAATGTATTGATGCTGTTTATTTCGATTTGAGTAAAGCATTTGACACAGTAGATCATAATCTTCTTTTGGCTAGGTTGGAGAGCTTAGGGATTAGGGGTCTACATCTGAAATGGTTCGAATCCTATCTTCATGATAGAACATTTTCCGTTCGAGTCCTTGATACGTTTTCGGCTACGAGAGTCTGCAAGTCCGGTGTTCCACAGGGGAGTATCTTGTCACCAATCCTGTTCAATTTATATACTATTGATTTACCGTCCTCTCTCATATCAGACCCAAGGATTAGAGTTGCCGCGTACGCAGATGATGTTAAAATTTATATCGCTTACGACCAGAATGATAAGAGTAATGCTGCCATAGTACTCCGTAGCTCAATTTCCCAAATGTTTGCTTGGGCTAGCAGATGGAATATCAAAGTAAATTACTCCAAGAGCTGCACTGTTCCCATTGGGAGAACGCCTGCTCATCCTAGAGAGGATTTCGGCCTCGAGTGCAAATTTATAATCAAAGATTTGGGCGTATATACCGACTCCAAACTGAAATATGCTGATCATATAGAAGTAATTGTCTCACGTGGTACCAGAATACTTTATGCACTGATGCGAACTACTCAGTCTTCTAATCCCGAGTTTCTCTTGAGAGTCTACAAGGCTTTCGTCCTCCCAGTGGTTGAATATTGCAGCTATGTGTGGAATCTTACTTTGAAGAAAGATATTGAGAAGATTGAGAGAATTCAAAAAATTTTTACAAAGTTCGTTTTTTATCGTGCCTTCCCTAATCCTAACTATCCTCTCTCCCTACCAGACTATAAAACGCGAATACGTTCACTAGGTCTTCAAACCCTTTTCTACAGAAGATTCGTAGCGGATATTATTATGGCTTTTAAAGTGCTGCGAGCCGAGGTAGGTTTGAAACCCAGCAAATACTGGGTTTTTCGACCTATTAGTGAACGCAGGGCCTCGTTCAATCTGGCTATTTCTAGGTTTGGGCGGCATAATATCACGTTGCAACGTAACAACTTCTTTTATCGAGCTGCATCGATTCTTAACAAGCTTCCGCCGCCATTTTTGTCTGTTAACTCGGCTGATCAGCTGAAAAGTGCTCTGAAGAAACTCGATGTCCTTCAGTTGTTGGGAGTTGAGGACGTTGTATGATGCTTTTTATTGGATATTGTTGACACTAATCCTGTTGTGGCATTGCATTTTACTAACCGCTCTTGAATTTATGCCATAAGCGCACTTTCAGGTGCAAATAAATTAAATTAAATTAAATTAAATTAAATTTGCCAGAGCCTGATCTATATTTTTTCGAGCTCACTGCTCCTCAAGGACTGAAACTTTTTCTATGAATAGTCTGGGCACTATGCTACAGAACCTGTTCTTTGCAGCCTCTCAGTCTTTTCCTGGCCTTAGTTATGAATTTTCAAACTACCGTGCTCATGCATGTTTTTGACGTCGTTCTGGACGGCGCTAAAGCGGTTTTTTTTCGCAGGAAAAACTGTGGAAGAGGTAAGAACTGAGCTTCTCAGTCGAAAACATCTTTTGTAGTTCAAGAATGCCATTTTGTTCTCCGTGTAAAAATTTGTGCCGCATACGGGAATCGAATTTGCTGGCCTGAAGTATGCCTGAAAATTCAAAAGTAAACTTGCAGAAACTTAAACATTATTGAAGGTGTGTATATGTGCTAGAGATGCTGGGCGCACTCATTGGCCTAGAAATTCTGCTTCCGAAACCTCACTGAAGTTCTCACGCAGGTGTTTTTTGAGATTGACATTCGTTTATGCAGGTTACCGCGAGAAATGTGGGCAGGGGAGGTAAAGGGGATAGATGGGGGAGGGGGGGGGGAGTCGTACGGATGGGTACCTTCAAGGGGGGGGGTCGTAAATGAGGGCCCAGGATCGCAACAACACGCTTGACCCTGGTTGGGTAATGCAAAGCACGGTAAAGGGGCCTTCGGTAACTAAATCTTTTGGCGTGAGCCGGTTCATTTCAGAATAAAAATCCTACGTTTTGGTCTAAATTACTTACCGCCTTTCATATGTCGAACGGTCTTCTACAAAAATCTGTGGGCTGTTGTTGTGACCTCAGCTTAGAGAATATGGCACACATATGATAGTGTGAATGGAGAGCATTGTGGTACTGCCAACCCATAAGTTGGTGGTGACGGATTCAATTTGTTTTGCCAGCTTTTGTTCTGCGATCAACTATCCTCAATTCGTTGAACACATTGACTGCTCTAATGTTGAGGACCGCAGTGGCGAGGCTAAAATTCAACCGGGTACGAATTGTACAACGACGATTTATACATGGATAAGCATTTTACCTAGCGGCGCGTGCTCGCAATGATGCTCAGTCTATGCGGTCATTAACTCGGCGATACAGTCATGTATACTCTGAAATCTCACGGATAAGCCCTCCCATCAGAGAAGTCTGCCTTCAGATTAGTCCGCTTTTATGACTTAGATAAGACCCTTCAAATAAGTCCTCTTTCTTCCTATTATAACTACCCTGAAATTTTGTCAGATAAGTCCGGAGACTGTTAGATAAATCCGGACCCATCTGTAAACGGACTTATCTGATGGGAAGACTTATCTGCAAGATTCTTGGCAATGCAAGGATGCATTTTCATCGATTTTTCTTGTCGAAAAAGCGTAATTTTCTGTAAGACTTTAGGGTACTGAAAGTAGAAATCTGAACGATTTTCAGAGATCAAAACCTGTTGAAATAGATTTTGATCTCTGAAGTGTTCAACAAATCGAAGTTGGAACCCGACCCTTTAGTTCGACCCTTTATAAACAGAAAAAGAAGGAAAACTCCGCAGAATAACATTTCAATTCAATGCATTCAAAGATTGCGTCTTTTTCAAGTGTTGCCTCAGGGAGTTTCCAGCCTGCGCCGGTCGTCGCATTTGCAGCCAGCAGCTGCTTTCGCGCCGGTTGCCGCTTGCAGCTGAAGCGCACTAGGTCACATTTTGTCCGTGGAGTGCCCAGGGAGACTCTGCACTAATAGGATACTTGCAGGGTATTTGCTTCTTTTGTCGCCATTCTTTCTTTGGAAGGTTCTTCTTTACGTTGTAGTGAACATTTTTGTTGCAGATGTGGTTTATTCGATCTGGGTTTCGTTTTTCGCTGGTGTACGGTGCTGAGTGCGATTCATTGTAAAATAAATTTTTTTCTCTTTCTCTCTCTCGTGAAGCTATTCTCTTATGCAAATGTGAGTGAACTAGCGCTAAGCGGAGCTTCATCTTCTTTTAGGCTAATCTTTTATGTTAGTTGATCGACTAAGAAAACGAGCTTTTTTAGCTTCCAGATTCAAAGCTATGCTGCTATCTAGCTTAAGCTATTCTGCTTTTGTAAACATGACTATGCTGGGTCAGCAACATCGCTGCGAAACCATGCCTTTCTTTGTTTTGAAGCTGTTCCACCATGCCTTAAAAGCACCATCGATGTGAAAAGAGATACCAATGTACTATTTTTGTCTGGTTGCATTATACTGAATGAACTACTATGCTCGGTGAGCGATATTGTTGTATCGAAAGTATCGCTTTTATGGCATGCAACTTCGACGACGAAAGCAATACACAAGAAGCATACATCAAGGATATCGCACATCCAACATAGCTGTTGCTCACTCTTGCATAGAAAAGTTGCACCGCAGCAGGAGACAGATGAAGAGAAACCTAATCCCACTTTGGCACCATAATTCTGCTAAAAAACGAAATCCAGGCTAAGTAAGCCACATCTGCAACGAATTTTGTCATAACATAGAGAGAAACCTTCGAAACGAAATAATAGCGACGAAATCAGAAAAACCTGCAAGTATCCCATTATGAAAGCCTTCCTAACGCTCCACGGCAAAATCTGATCCAGTGCGTTTCAGCTGCAATAGCGGCAACCGACGCGAAAGCAGCTATTGGCTGCAAATGCGACAAACGGCGCGCTTTGCAGGCTCCCTCAAGGCAAAAGAAATGAACCGTTCAAAGCTAATGGTATTTCACACACCACTGCGTCATCCGCTCAGCATAACACACGCGACTTCCTACCCGTTGTGCAAATTGTCACAAACTTTCTGTAGGAGACCGCTTGGTGGATTTGGAATGCGGATAAGTAGTTGGTTGGCCTATCGTAAGGGTTTGCAGAGTATGCATTTTGTTGTGATTGACCCCTTCAACTATTGAGCATTCTTTTGTTAGTCTGCCCTTTTGGAAAGAAGTATACATATATTTCTGAATCAGCTCAAAACCGTGACCCAGATTCTGCTGTCTTTAGTGGTGGCGTACTAATTCCCGAGTTATGAGTTTTTTCCTGTGCAAACTTGACTTGCTCTCCAATGTATAGTATAAAGACTGCTGTATATGGAACTCTGCCCGGAAAGGTGCTGGGATAAGGAGGTAATATCAATTCGAGCAGGTAGACCAGCATTCGAAAATGATACATCTCAGTCAGTAAGTCTAGGAGCTTGCAAACTTTGCCCAGGCAAGAAACAACAACTTGCTTTGAAATACTACGCCGCAGCTAAAGGCAACGACTTTCTAGTCAGAGCACCCAGTTATTTCAGACATTAGGTTGACCTAAAGTTCTGTCTCTTTAACATTAAAAAATTCGTATATGCTCCCCATGTGAATACATTTGCTTACAGAAAATTTATCTGGAAGAAAGATTCATCCTCTTTCGAACAAAATTTCTGCGGATTTTTGACGACAGGGATCTCCAAAATCAAAAACTAAACGGCGAACCAATCTAACTCTTTATTTCCGAAAATGAATCATAAAAAATCTAGAAAACTGCAGAAAAATTGGGGAGCATGTTTCTTAAGGTCTTCGTGAGCTGCTCAATGGAACAGTGCCAAGTTTGCGCTGATCGAACTTTCGTTGAAACTCAGGGATTCGCGCCGTGCGAGCGCTCCTCCTATAAGGGCTGGCGTACAAGCGGGACATAAGCCTAAAGCTTCCGTGCGTGCGGCAAACAGCTGCAGTGTCTTCCTAGCGGCAGGAAATGTTACCGTGCAAACGGCCCGCAATACGATTGCTCCGAGCGGCCAGCAAGCGTCCGTCTTATCGGCCGGCAATATCCGTTGCCGTGCAAGCGGCCAGCATGACCTTCATATCCGGCTCATTATTTTCACACATTGTGAGCCCAAACGGTACCTGCGTGGGGTACGACGCAGCGTTTAGGCTGGCTAAGCGTCGACATATCCTGTTACCAACATTTTCCTTCACCGCAGAGCTGAAATAAACCTGTGTGAGGCTACAGTTATCAAGAGTGATGGTGTGGGCTCTATCACGAAAAGCTTGGGTAGTGCTGCAGGCATCCGTACATGTTCTACCATAGAATGTGAATGATTAACCCATGGAAAATGTTCAAAATCTTATATATAAAGCTGAATGTCTGTTTGTATGTCTGTCTGTATGTATGTATGTATGTATGTATGTATGTATGTATGTGTGTACGCATGTTCCGAATGGAAAATTCCATTTCTGAACCGATCGGGACCAAACTTGGCACACATACACTTTGGGCCCCGGCGGGTGTCATAGGCTACTTTTCCGATCGATATCGATTTTATCGATTTTTTGCAAAATTTGAGCTACGGGGCTGGGAGTTGGCACAGGGGGGTAATCGAGCATGGGGATTCCGAATACAGTATTAGTTTTTGAAATCGTGCATTACTTTTATCGATTTTATCGATTTTTTTGCGAAGTTTGAGCTACGGGGCTGGGATTTGGCACAGGGGGGTAATCGAGCATGCTGATCACCCCCGTGGGGATGATCAGCATGCTCGATTACACCCCTCTGCCAAATTTAAGCCCCCTAGCTCAAATTTTGCAAAAAATCGATGAAATCGATAAAAGTAATGCACGGTTTCGAAAACTAATATTGTATTCGTAATTAGCATGCTCGAATATCCCCCTGTGCCAAATCCCAGCCCCCTAGCTCAAATTTTGCAAAAAATTGATAAAATCGACATCGATCGATAACGAAAAGTGGGCTGTGACACCCGCCGGTACCCGAAGTGTATGTGTGCCAAGTTTGGTGCGGATCGGTTAAAAATGGAATTTTCTATTCAGAACATACGGCGGAGCCGGGTAAGCCAGCTAGTACCCCATATAAACCCACTAGCAGCAAGCGAGCGGCCGATCTTCCCCGCGCAAGGGCCGATCATCCCCGAGCATTAAAAACCGTGCATGCGCCCTACGTTAACCGTGCTAACGGCCATTGACGATCGTACAATCGCACACACCAACGAGCGATTGTAAATTCGTCGCTGGCCGCCCGCACAGCGCGAATCCCTGAGAAGGTTGTGATTTTCGAGAAGAATACATAAAACAGCGAAAATAATTGTTTTCCCATTTTTCTCCTTTTCACTCGAAAATGTAACATGAAAATCGTAACTTTGCTGAAAAATGTCGATTAGCGCAAACTTGGTTTGCTTTAGAGCAAAAAGATCCTAACACACATGCTTTCTGTGGCGTTTGAATTTTAGACGAATTAATTCGAGAATCGGGAGCTAGAGTGATTCGCCTTTCCTAATTTTTAAATTTGGAGTCTTTTGCCGGCAAAAAAGCCGCAAAGTTTCAATTGGAAAAAAATGAATTTCTCTTTCTCACAGAATTTTTTGTGGTACATTTACGTGGGAAGCATATACAGATTCAAATCAAAGCGACAGAACATTCTGTTTAACTTGATATATGAACGTTTTTTCAAAATATTAGACTAGTTAATTATACCTTGTAATTGAATAATCTTACGAAAAACATAAAAATCTTCCTAGGACATGTTCCCGTATGAAGGTGCACTTGGTGAGATCAAAAATGGATATTCCTATACTCACGATGAAGCTCTCGACATTCTACGACAGTAATTTACCAGCCAGAATCATATTATCTGAATAGTTCTTGAAATAGTTATTTCAGTGCCGAGTCGCTCAAGCTTTCGGTGATCCCATTAGTACAAACAATTGGACATCTCGAATGGATACTCAAAATTAAAAACTTCGTAGGCTTTCGCGAGCATCCAGATTATCCTTTGGCAAGTTTTCTTTAGAAAGGAATGCTGATCTTATCACATAGTGATTCTTCTCATTCTATCTACTCTCAGTTGGTTTCATGGCTGATCCACGCTACTATACATTTTTCGGATGGAGCCAGCTGGATATTGTTTATTTTGCGTTTTCTTAGTTTTCCTTGTTGCATAACCTCAAGTCATTTGTAACATAATATGTGAGACTGCACACTAAACCCTATTAACGGCGAAACATATACTGGTAACTTTCCAGTGGAACGTTTTTGTAGCCTGATATAGTGTAGAAATGTGATCTACTGACTGACATATAAACAATAAAGATAAAAAACAAGGAAATGAGGAGCAATTACTGGAAATGAGCAGTTCTGGTTTTTCAGTTTGTCAGTCAGCATGTATAGTGTGCACTAAGCATATTAAGTTACAATGATTCGACGATAGCTATGCCTAACAAACGTTATGTTCTGCCATGATGCGCTTCTAAAAGCGGGAAAAGTGCGTCCCATCGAGAACATTCTAAGATTGCACGTTGCACACATAAGCAGTGATGCTCTAACCTGAATATTTTTGTTGAATTACCTTATGGAAAGCCAAGTAACATACAGGTCGTTGCTTGGCTCCTCAGCTTGACATGATAGAGCTCACCGTACCGCCCAACTGTATTCATCAATACTTGAGTCAGGCTTTTGCATGCCAAAAACAATGCCCATCGCATTTCATAGGCATAGCGCACTTACCTTTTGTCCCAATTTCCACTGCACCACCTAAAATTCGAATAATTCACAAATGGGATGGTTTTTTGAATTGATATTGATTTTGTAACGAGTATGCTCACTTACCCTTTCGTCAACTCCCAGTCATGTATCTAGGGTATCGCAAAAATTTGTGCTCACTTATTCCTCCCCCCTCCCCTATCCCCCTGGTGCTAACACCCAGATCGCAGCTCAAAGTTTACGAAAAAACCCCGTAGTTCGATGAAGGTAGTCGATAATTTTTGTAAACCAAAATCGTAGCAAGTCAGTTCTCCCCCCCCCTCTCAAGTGACAACGCTGACCTGTAACTCAAGTTTCCAAATGGAAAAATCAATAAAGGCAATGGATGGATATTTTTCTTAAAGGCAATGGCTCGGCAAATCTCAACCTAGTCAAATTTTTGCTTACCTGGGGTTATTCAATACGCTGATTCCGAAAATCCACTTTCGAGAGCTTAAAAACGCCGAAAACGAGCGTTTTTTAATGCCCTTCCCTTTGGAATTGGACGAGTACGGCAGGGCTGATGACGCCGAATCGTTGCAGGACCCTATGGTTATAGCATTGCGGCAGGCAGCCTCCAATGGTGAGAAAAAAGCCAACTCGTCCGGATGCGTGTAAGAATGACCTGTGCGTGTAAGTTTGAGAGCAATTTTTTCGGCAAGGGGGCATGCTGTGCAACCGGGATTGCACTGTTTTCATGTTTGGGCAATAAGGAGTCTACCGCGTTGAAATTTTGAGTTGTTGAGTTTTGCCGACCCACTGCCGTTAAGTTATCACATCACTAATCAGTATGTTCACTAATCCCTGTGCTAACTGTGGGACCCGTAGCTTGACATTAGCAAAAGAAGACGAAGATGATAGAAGTAGAAAGATATACATTAACATGCCCATTCATTTCCGTGCCAACTTTCAGTTCTGTAGAGGATTTGCAAAAAGGTAGAATCGATTGTCGATTCTTGAAAAGCAATATATTCGTAGTCGACATGCTCACTCACCCTCATCCTTTAACTATTGGACTTCAGCTTAGTGCGATAAATCAAGAAATTTGATATCGGTCGACAACCAGAAAGAGTCTATGACAATTATCCCGCCCCTTAGGTGTTGTATGCAAAGTTTGGTTTGAATTTGAATGGATATTTTCCAATCTTGACTTACGTACAGACACACAAACAGGCATTCAGCATATATGAGATTTGCTATCATTTGCTGGAAGAGCTCTCTTCAGGTTGCATGTATAGGCGACGACAAGGTCGTGGAACTGATTTTGGATTCCTTGAACCAGGTATGAAATTTACACTCAACAGAAGATTAAACATGACGATATCACCATGACTTTTTCGAGCTTTTCGAGATCATGAGCATTCAAGGTCTGCTATGTCCTTTTGATCAGAACTCTACTTCATAAGCTAACTTTTCTATGATGCAGCCATTTTGGAGGTCGTTAAGGTTTCTGTAGACAGAAGTGGGACTCTTGTTCAAGTCCTGATGTAGAAGATAAACTCCAAAGTGAGACAGTTGTCGAAAAGTAGATGAGTTGCTCCGCTTGTCAACATCGTTAACTTGCAAGTGATAAACCCGAAGCGCACCCAAAAATATCGAAACACCATTTATCGTTAAAAATAGATTCTTGACACAATATGTCAGAAGAATGAACTTTATTTTACTTTTACATCTTCATAATTCATCTTTCGCAGAGGTACATCGGAAATTCCCATTAGCTGTCGCTATTGTACCCTCATCAAAATCTCGCTTACCTCAGATTTGTCTAGACTGTGTTTTCGAGCTTTCATCCTCTCTCCTATAATGAAATATTCGCAATCATATTGAATTTTGTCATTTAGGTAATGAAACTACACTCCGAAGTAGGCATGCCGTACGTACATATCGGAGCCGATGAAGCCTACATCGTGGGAGCAATCCTTTATCTTGCACCCTGATTTGAATAACCATGCTTTTCAGATGGGGGAATGTCCTGCTGATCTCAGGATCCTACCCAATTACGCTAATAACAAAAAACGTTTGGTCTTTGATTACGTAAAAAAGGTTGCTAAGAATATTACTCTACAATATCCGCAAACAAAGGTGAGCATGTTATGCTATTTTATCGAAAAATTATAAATCTTTGCGGTACAAGTCAAGTAAAAAGGTTCAGGTGCTCATCTGGCACGACGAGTTCAAGAATGTTAATGACACATTGGTAAAACAATATGAATTAGACCGACTCGTAACCCCTGTAGTTTGGTATTACCAGCCCGATTTGGCTACGGTCTGTGAATTGATTTCAAGAAATGGCTAAGTGTGTTCCTTATTTGTAAATGTTCTAGAAACTTCCAAAGTACAAATGGAAGCAGCTTGTCCGTTCATTCTCTTCTGTATGGGGAGCTAGTGCCTTCAAAGGTAGGTTCGGTATTTACCTTAATAAAGCAGGATGAAAATTTTATGAGCAATGCCCATTGTGCTTCTTTACATTCTTTACCGAATAGATCTGTTAAAAGCAGAGCCTCGGCAGAACGAATCCGGGATATTCATCGTTCTTGGTTCCCCTGGATGAACTAAGTCCAAGACTGTGCTTTGCAACTTCAAAAGATATCAATAACCCTCTTTTCCAGAAGTGAAAAGTGCCATTTCGGTGGAAGGCGTATGTCTGCCCTCGAACGCGATTGGCTCGTGGTTACGGTAGGTACGGTGTCTCCACTCACAAGTCAATCGCGCTCTAGAGAGCAAGGTACGGTCCGCCCTAATGGCTTTTTTCACGTCTGGAAAAGCGGGTTACTGAGATCTTTTGAAGCTGCAAAGCACAGTCTTGGACTCAACTCGTTTAGGGGAACCCAAAACGATGAATATCCCAAAGTTGTCATTTTGCCAAGCCGCTCTAAGCAGAATTACACCAAGCACAGAACTATACTACTTTTAGTAATTTGTGAGATTTTTTGACTACCGAAGCCTTCATCTCTTATCCATCTAATTGCCGTGAAATGACGTAAAGCTCATAGGTGTAACAACTTCAGTTAAGTGTCTCAGGTGGTAACGGACCTAATCGCTATTGGAATTACGTGGAGCATTATATGAAGAACAACAAGGCATGGTCAGTTCAGTTATGTGTCCGAAGCTGGAAAAAGTAAAAGCAAGAGGCAGAGGCTAATACTCTGCCTGAACTGATCTTCAAAAAACTGCTTTTGACAGCTTTTCCAAGATATCTTTCCTTTCCAAAAGTTGCGAGCAACTTTTTCGAATGAAACTGAAACGATTAGGTACCAACAAGCACTAGAACATAGTGATCTCATCAAATTCCAAGGTTTCATTATTACAGGCTGGCAGAGGTGAGAATTTTCTATAAATTTTTTAGCGATACTTAACTTTCTAAATACAGATTTCATCATTTTGCACCACTTTGTGAACTTTTCCCCGTTTCGATGGCCTCACTGGCAATAAATGTTAAGCTCATCAAACACTTTACTCTTTCAGGTATTGCTTTCATAGATTTTAATGCAAAAGTAATGAGCGTTTTATGCTCTACGACTTATTCTTATGGCTCTCAAATTAAGAGGCATGTTGCCCTAACTTTTAGGGCCACTTAGTTGTCAAATTTGGTTAACAATCAATGCAACGTTATATAGCTTTTGCCCGTTTAATGTTGCGCATTCAATTGTTTTTATTACGATTATGATGCCAGCTACGAAAGCGGAGGTTCCGCCAAATTTTGGGATAGCATATGAATATTAGTGAGCGGAAGAGAATGGAAGGACAAGAAAAAAATTATCAGGTCTTGTCGAAACTTAATCCAAGTCACTGAAGATGATATTTATTTTGCTTTTTGGGTTGTTTTCTTATTCACAAAAAATCCATGGTATGATTTTTAACCCGACAACAAATTGATATGGTATTCGTGTTCAACAGGTCAAGTTACCTCATTGTGCGAAATCTTGGCAAATTCCAAGAGTTCCGATTATCTGGCATTAACGGATTCCCAAGGCAGCGTTGACGCATTTGAACCCCTCTTCTTGAAAGCGCCATAACTCGACATTCAACTTATAACTCTTTCCAAAAAAGGCGTAATAATCAGCCTCTAGCAACAGTTTGTTTATAGCTTTGACTACGATCCTTTTAAAGTAATTCATGTTGTATATGGTTTCATTCTTTTCGAAAAAGTCCGTAAGTTTCTGAAAATGGCCAGCCTTTGGCGCGTAAACTTCTTCCGTTTTGTCACTCAAAAGTAATTGGTTTGCGCAGATTTGTCACTTACTTTGTAGTGTACATAACGCCGATATTTGATTGTGTTTTGTTCAAGGAGAGAGATCATTCTATAAGGCTGCGTTCATACTGATTCCCTTGTTCTGGAACTGTTCCCGCACAGTTCTCGCACTGTGCTGAAACTGTACGGGAACTGTGCGGGAGCTGTGCGGGAACAGTTCCAAAACTGTGCTGCATGCGCTGCAGCCACCCGCACCGTTTTGAACGGCGGGAGTTGGAGAATTTTGACCGTTCTTAACGGTTTTTTCTTCCAGATTTCGCTCATTTCGGCCTTATTCCTCCACCCCGCTTCCCTTTCTGATCAGCAGAACTTCGAACTCGAAGCGGGGTTGAAGAATGAGCGCTTTTCTGTTCCGTGTATTCGGAAAGATGGGCTATCGTGCGATTGTTTATTCTGTCTTCTTGTTTTTTGCTCAAAACTACTTCATTTGTTCCAGGAAGCGGCTGCCCAGTTTCCATGGCCATCTGCCACGAATTAGGGAGTAGGAGAAATCCTGAAATTGCATGAGTTGGAACTTGTCTCTTGTTTTTGATGATTTTGGACGTTCTCAGCCTTGTTCGTTTTTCCATATCGTTGTTCTCCATTCTTTCTTCTACCCCGCTTCTCCTAGTGATGACAAAAGCTGTGAATTTGAAGCGGGGTTGAGGATTGAACGCTGTTCTGCTCCATGTATATGGGCCTTCGTGCGCCCGTCCATTCTCTCATAGCTATTTTTGTTCAGAACTACTTAATGTGTTCTCGAGACTTGTCTATTTCAATTTCAATACAGATGCGAGAATACGCAGCGACTTGTTAGTGCACATGAAGTAGGTATGAACAAAAATAGCTATGAGAGAATGGACGAGCGCACGAAGGCCCATATTCCCGGATACATGGAGCAGAACAGCGTTCAATCCTCAACCCCGTTTCAAATTCACAGCTTCTGTCATCACTAGGAGAAGCGGGGTAGAAGAAAGAACGGAGAACAACGATATGGAAAAACGAACAAGGCTGAGAACGCCCAAAATCATCAAAAACAAGAGACAAGTCCCAACTCATGAAATTTCAGGATTTCTCCTACTCCCTAATTCGTGGCAGATGGCCATGGAAACTGAGCAGCCGCTTCCTGCAACAAATGAAGTAGTTTTAAGCAAAAAACACGAAGACAGAATGAACAATCGCACGACCCATCTTTCCGAATACACGGAACAGAAAAGCGCTCATTCTTCAACCCCGCTTCGAGTTCGAAGTTCTGCTGATCAAAAAGGGAAGCGGGTGGAGGAATAAGGCCGAAATGAGCGAAATCTGGAAGAAAAACCGTTAAGAACGGTCAAAATTCTCCAACTCCCGCCGTTCAAAACGGTGCGGGCGGCTGCAGCGCATGCAGCACAGTTCTGGAACTGTTCCCGCACAGTTCCCGCACAGTTCCCGCACAGTTTCAGCACAGTGCGGGAACTGTGCGGGAACAGTTCCAGAACAAGGGAATCAGTATGAACGCAGCCTAACAGAAAAATAGCAACGTATTGATTAGCACTTTTTGAAGCGACCTTTAAATTCGTTGCTTGAGCCCGAATACCGTACCCTGAACCCCATCTTCCTTCTTCAACATTTCTTGCTTCGGAATAGAAAAAAGAAAGCTTGTGGGGCACATTATCTCGACCTTGAAACGTGTCATTCAAGGCCTAGTGGCTAGTGGGTGCGACTCTCAGCTGCCAGGTCCGGGTTCGATTCCTCGTCTAGGGGGTTTTTTTGCTGCTAACATTAGAGCCTAAAAAAACAGCTGACTTCTCCACATATCATTCTATAACAGAAAAATAGCAACGTATTGATTGCACTTTTAACATTCGCCGCAAACTTGAGCATCAAGATTCGAAGGTACCTCCACTTGAAAGCCATATTTCGAGCCTACAATGAAAAAAATTCAAAAATCTAAGAGGACTTTTGCTTAAGAGCTTGTTGTCCTCTTTTTATTGGTACCATTCTCTTCAATCAATCTTCAGTGGCTGGTGAGTTATGAGCGCTCAAAGTTAGCATAGCAGTTGAAAGCGCTGCTGCTTTTTGTGATATTGGTTCTGATGACAACATTTTCTACAATTTTAAGTACTTACAAAACGCTAAATACTTAATTCTTTTTTTGTAACAATGTTTACTACTTACACTTTCTCTGTCCCATTCAAATTATCTTGTCTGCTGGAAACTAGAAATCGAGGACCAAATGAAAAACCTCAGAGTATTGCAATTGAATCAGCATTGGGAAAAGCAGATCGGACGGAGCTTTGTTGAATAAAAAATAAATTAAAAAAGGTGGTGATGCAAACAGTGAAAAACGCTACTGTCGCACTGATCACGTCTATTGAAGATAGTAGTGCCCAATAAAGGAAAGTGCCTAAAGGTCTCTTCGCAGAAAAATGTTTTTTTTTTGAGTTGGTGACTGCGCAAAGAGTAAGATACGAAAGTCCAAAATCAATGTTAATTCACGATAATATAAGTTCAAAAGTGTCGTAATGGCTCTTGGGAGAAACCAGAAAAAGGTTAACATCACGTAACCTCGAGTCATTTATAACTTAATATGTGAGATTGCACACTGAGCCCTATTAGCAACGGTGCCCATATTAGTAACCTCCCAGTAAAACATTCTCTAGCCTAACAAAATGTAGAAATGCGTTCTACTAACTAACATATAACAACTAAAACAAAAGAAACAAGGAAACAAGGGGAAATCACTGGAAAATGAGCAAATTCTAGTTTCATAGTTCCTCACTTAGGATGTATAGTGTGCACTACGCATATTAAGTCACAAATGACTCAACGATACGTTTTTAAGAAACCTAGCAGAATAATATAGTGTAATGTCGAAGCCCGCGTCATGCGATGCCTATTTGCAAATTACATCTGAATTATGCATGCGAAGGGACAGTTGGAGGGCTTGAATAGTGCGGTAGCATGATAAACAGTGTTATAACTTTAGTAAATAATATTTGTGCAGCATATTTTCCAATACAAGCCTTGTTTCTTGTACAAAATAATTGAGAGAAAATTTCAATCAGTTATGCACAATTTTAGCAATTAGATATTACGACTAGAAAAACTTCAAAAGGCTTTTAGATATTTGCGTAGATTCTATGAATAAATAACAAAAGTGAGTGCATATTTACAATCACCCTGTGCGAGTCATAGAAAGTGGATGGTAATTCAATGCGCATCCGTTCTACCAATGATTTGTACTTCAATTTTTGTCACCTCTGAACGACTACGACAACGACGTTAAAAAGTCGACTGCGCGAAATCGTCCATATTGCTGTAGGCAGAACCCGCGAGCGTGCCTGCAGCGAAGCTGGAGGGTACAGGCGCTATAATGGCTCATGCGTGCGAATGCCAATGTGTGCCCGCAAGGGACACACCCGGCAGCGCTCACCATGGCGATTCCGTGCATCAACTATTAAAATCATACTGTCTAGGCAATACGACGCGATTGAGACAAAGCCGAAAACTAATTGAGGATTGGGCCAGTTTGTGCGGCGCACGCTGCGTATGTCGAGTATGCCGCGCAGTACCTTGAGAGTCACACATAAGTGACGGTCTAGTTGCGATGAAGACTTGAGTTGTTTTCGGATGTTTCCTCTGAAAAGAAAGCGCTGAATTGTGAGGCCTCACAATATTGGCTACCATAACAAACCCGTGAAAAACAAGCCGAACTGAAGACTATGAACAAGCTATGACAGTCAAACTCAAGATATGCGAAGCGCTTGCTACTTTTGCATCAGCAGCATGTTACTTTATGTTTAGATTTCCTTACAGAAGATGACCTGAGTGGAATTTTACATGCATTAAAATGTCCAAATGGGACCACTATCAGCCATTTAAAGAGAGGACAAGACCAGTGCAGGTTTTCTGGTGAGTTTGCTATTATTACGTAGATGTCATATTCTATTTAAGCATATAACTGAAACTGATATTTTTACAAAGAAAAATGTCGAAGACTAAGAGAACACTGCTATTTTATTAAATTGAAAGTAGTGTGAATTGGAATGACGCCTTTCACGGTTGCAGTGCATGCAATGAAGCTGCACATACCGTGATAGAACTCAATCCTATATCTTTCTCTCCTGTACCTTCGTCTGCTCCAGTTCTGCGCTCCTTGCAGTTGTGGCGTAGTCCTCAAGTCCTAGCTAAGTAGACATCGCGGTTTTCACTTAGCGCTTCAGCCTGTTTCATTTAAAATTGAATTTGATGTGTTCAGGTCACAAAGTCAGGAATGCAATCAGAGATTTCATGCTTATAAAGCAGCAACACGATAATGCAATGATTTTTGAGTAAATTTGCAATTCTTTCTTTTGTACAACTAAACAGTCGTGCAACTCTTAGAGAGGCGGAATATCTTCAACCGTATCAAATGCAAATGAACTTTAGCTGTTCATATGGAATAAGAAATTTTGAGATTATGTACAAAAAGTACTTACAACGCTTAGATGAGATGATCGATTGGCTCAGGTAATGTTTCCTATCTCTAATCTCCACCTTGAAAAATTTTTTGAGGTCTTCATTGCAAGAATTATTCTATGAAGATGTGTACTTCGAATTTATGGTGGACTACATCGAACCATTTTATAGCGAACTCGAGTCAAAGTGCGTTAATTCAAATTTTGTACGATGGTCAACTCTCGAGATGACTTACAAAATCAAAAGTGGTTTGAACGACAGTGAAACACAATTGCTTATTAAAAAATTCTTGGACTCTTGTTTTTATTTTCAACTTTTTATCACACTCTTGCTACACTCTAATATAAAAACTAAACCTTTTTTCCACAATAAGTGCTTTTAGACTCAGAAGTGTAAGAGCGATCAATTCGAGAACAGTCTATCCACCTCGTCCATGGTTCCCAAGTGAAGGTACACTTGGCTAATATTTTTCTGTATATTTGAAACAAGCTGTGTCTGGATTAAATCTCATGTATAGAGCCGAACGTCTCATGTATAAAGCTGTTTGTTCATATGTCTGTATGTACAGGGTTCCAAACAAGATTCTCGGTTTTACGCGTATGCAACAAGTTTGGATTGTCTTGGATGAGTGGTTCTAACGCTTCTAGTTCTATGAATATTCAAACATCTCTCTTGTTGCAAGCTATCAGGCATTTTTTCATGAGCTGCTAAAATTTAAGGCTCTACTGAGTCACAAGCAAAAATGAAGTTTTTTGCAGCCTGATTTTAACACATGGAGCCAAAGCTAACAAATTATTGCTTAAGCTCGGCCAGAGCCCGGCACCTGTTAACTTCGAGTTTGATGAAATTGCATCTAAAGTATTATGAGATGGAATGGGAAGCCGCAGAGTATTTATCCAACAAAAAACAAAGGTTTCTTATAAAACTGCGGTTCGATAACAGAAAAACATCGATCTAAACAAAATTTCGGCAAGAGACATCAAGCCTACTCCATGTCACAGCGGCCCTTAGTTCTCCGTCACCGATCGCAACATCAATCAATAAAATCCTACATAAGGCTGAGTTCATTTGCGCGCGTCATACTGTTCTCTTTCTGTGCTTTATTGTTGTTCTTTAAAACAGCCCCATCAAGAGGCTCTCGATCCTACTTTTCAGAGTCATGCTTGTGTTTGTAGAAGGAGCCAAGAGAATAAGTGCCAACATCTGCCATAGTTGGTACGGCTAACACGAAAATCAGCGGATGTTGGCGCGAAAATTTCAAGAAGGAAAATCACACAGACTTCTGTCCAATTAATGCACCGGTCATTGAGGACCGCCAAACTCCGAACTAGTCCGCCAATCGAGAAAATAAGATAAGACTACTCATTGCTTATTTCTTGATACCTCAACGTTTATTGAATCTGAAGCGTACAGGTGCTGTTTGCGGAGTATTACAGCACGCGCTAGTCAGCATCATAAAGGTAAATTTGATAACGCAGCGGCTCTGCGCGGACAATTTCGCATTATTTATTGCGTATGCATGTAGGTGGTGATAGCCCTTCGTCTTGCAATCAAGTTTACCAGGAGGCTTTGGGCTGATAATAACGTTGTCAGCCAAAAAACGGTGTCCAACGAAAAGCGAGATCGCTGTCCAACATCGACGGCGCCGTCGATGGAAGCTGCATCCAACTAAAGATGGTTATTGCGTCACATTCTTTTGACCCTGAAAGACTGCCTACAAACACATATCATAAAGTATTTAGAAATTTTTGTTTCTTTTCTGGGATAAAATACACAGAAATTTCTACATTTGGATGACATAAATGCAATGATATAATCAATCAATATATTCGGTTCTTTAGAGTATCTTCATTGCTCATCTCGCTTTCTTCTTTCTTTCTTTCAATTTCTCGATCTTCATAGTTCATCATCATTTTTGCTGAACCATGAAGACCGAGAAAGCTGTAGCGTCAATTTTTGTGCAACATTTTGATTTTTATGAGCGATCTTTTTTGCCTAGCAGAGGTATCACAATAATAAGCTATGTGAAAATTGTTCGGCAAAATTCCATTCGCGTTTCCTGTCAGATTTTCAATGTTTACCGAGACGTAATCGAAAAATAAGTAATTTTATTGGTACGAAACTAGTTTGTCAATAAAATTACTGCCCAACAACTCAAATGCCATCAATTGCATGCCTCTTGATTAATCCTGAATTATCGGAAAAAGGCATTTTTTCGCATATAGGCCAAATAGGGCATAACTGTCCTTTACTGACAGTAGAAAATACTAGTCAATTTGTGATAGTGGAGTCTATGAACTACTTTCCCTTAATAAATTTCTGGGTAGATAATGTCAAGAAAAGTTTTTATGACATTTTCTGCTAGGATAGAATTAGTTTTTAGTCAACCATTTAGAATCCTTTGACAATTGAATAAAAAATATAATTTTTAGCATAGAAAGCAGCCAACTAGGGGCAATACGTTCTACAGGGTGGGGCAAAAGTCTGGGAGCCTACATTGCAGTGCTGTCAATCAAGCAACTACTGATGATTTTGGCTCCAAACTTGAGCCACTTATTGCTGCGATCATCCTCTACAAATCACACTTTGGATGGCTGAAAATGCTTGCCATATGTTTTTGTAGGAATTGGATTTATCAAACATATGCTTCTGCAAAGCGAAAAAATCGAAATTTTTGGTCTACACAACTTATTTCATAGCTAAAGTTACAGTGGATATTCTAGAGCACCTCGATGCACACAATGTAGGAGAAAACCTCGCGTCAGTTCGTAGTCGTTGCCTTGAGCAGATATCATTCTTTCAAAACGCAAAATAAAAATTTGCGAGTAATATCTGCGTGCCAGTGGCCATTTTTCTTTAAAAATAAATTTGAAAGCTATAGGAGCACAGCAGGCACTGAATTCTGAGCTATAGGCGATGTCACCCCGCATCGGTCGTGGGTGTTCACAAGCTGAGGCTGCGCGCGCACCGCATGCGGCGGAAACGATACGCGAGCGTGATTGTTGAGCTGTCTTCAGACTTGCGATCGCCATGGGCTCACCTTGCTCTTCTCATGGTTACGTTTTCCTTTATGCGACTGCATTTGCTGCGTGAGTTCATGTCTAATTGTCGTTTGCAATCTGACATGATTCGTTATTTAGATGATAAAATTCTCGTTAGAATGTACAACGCTGCCAGGGTTGAATTTTTGTTTTGATTACTTGTAATGGTCCTGGAGCTCGAACAATGATAAGGCTTGCGTAACTAAATTCGCACTCGAGTTGTGATATGCCGTTTTAGTAGTTCTCAATGTGTGCTTTCGATTGCTGTCTACAAGCACATCGTGATATCTTTGGTCGTAATACACATATCACATCGAGAGAGGGACAAATTTAGTTTAGTGGGAAGGACATTGAAAGTTTCGTTAGTCACTGTTCTAGTCATACATGAGCTTCCGCGCTCGAACATCGTTTCCGCCGCCTGCAGCGCGCGCGCAGCTTCAGCTCGTGAGTACCCACGACCGATGCGGGGTGACATCGCCTATACATTCTTTCCATAAGTCTTCTATGCAAGCATGTACTTCGTTGAGTTCGATCGATTACGCAATTTCAATACTTTTCAGATTACGATTCTTCGCTCCCGTTCGCGCGATCGCTTCCATATTTCCAGTATGCGAGTACACTGGCCTTCAATAAAAATTCCAAAATTTTTCCTCAAACACTGCAAAAAAAATTTTCTCGCAGTACGTTGTAGCCAAAAGCTTGCTCTATCACACCGCATGCTTGCCTGGTGAAAGAAACAGTTATCGTAAAGGCGTGGGACGAATTCAATTACGACTGCCTGCGTGCCACGACAGGCGGGGTTACCAAGATTTCGAAGGGATGCTTTGAAGCCAGAAGAGGCAATCTCAAAATTCGAAGGCAGCGCTGTACTTGTACAGGTTCGATTTATGTGCACACCGAATTTTTTATTTTTAGACACTTTCCTTCTGATTTCATCTGGAAAAGTATTAGGCTCCCAGACTTCTGCCCCACCCTGTATACTCTACAATTAATTGTAGAAATTTGAATTTTAGAGATTTTTGTAAAATTTACAGGAGCAGATTAGTTGGATTTGGCACGAGATGGCTATCCGAAAAGGCAAAAAACGAGGTCCCTCTTGAATTTCGCAAAACTTCTTTTTTTTCGCAAAGCTTCTTTGACCCTACACCCTAAATATAATAAATCCTCGAAAAAACGAAACGTCGACTAAGAAAAGAAACATATCTATGTTGCCTTTCTTCGGCGAGCAAATTAATTGAATTTGTTAAAACACTTTACATATTTTTTGAGCCAACGTCTAGGGTCAAAAAGTTGAGATGGGGTAAAAGAAGAAGGTTTTGAAAGAGGGGATGGCTAATCTCATGACCTAAGAACTACATATGCCTTTAGAAAACTCAAAAAAAAAACAAAAACCAATCAATCATGGCGAAAGATGACTCGCACGAACAGAAAGCGAGTAGTAATGTAGCCGCATAAACTGCGCTGGAGCCAGGAAATGCCTATGTCGAGTCTCGTATGAAAACTAGACCATTCGCACATTGGCAAAGCAGGAAAACTGCCACATAAGCGATGCCCCCCCCGTGCAGCGAAAGCGAGAATCGAGTTTGTTCGAAGTTACGAATGATGGCATCGCTGGTGAAAGTGTCAGCGATTCGGAGGAGAAGCGATGGCGAGAGTTCTCTCGCCACTTCACCCCGATAACCGTGACTTTAAGAAGAAAAATAAGAGTGGAAGGAGAAAAACAAAGAAATCTTAGTATGGATGACATGTGGCCAATATGGATATGTCCTTAGGGGCAGAGAAACGAGGCTATACTATGAAAAACGTGTTTTTGTTGTTTCTGAGTAATAAATCTTCAAGCTCAAAAAAGCAAAAAAAATGTGGAACAAAACGACGCACTCGTTTCAGAATGCATGCTATACGATTAGTGAAAATGAGTTGGCAATGTGCCATGACAAAATGCAAGTTGGATGTTAACTGAAAACTTGTTTTTGTAATAAATCTCACCTTGACACCAAGAAATTTGTGGCTGAACACTACAAGCACCAGCAATATTCGATTGATACGTAAGTCTACAAATAAAATATTCAGAATTATAGTTCTCCATCTTCAATAAACCGTTTGATTTTTACCTATTAAGAAAGGCAAATCTTGAGCTTTCCAGATGCTTGAACCAATTTTTGTTGGCATATGGCAAAGATACAGACTGATTTAGAGGAACGAGAAGTGCTTTTTAACACATTGACGACCATGCAGATTTTTAGTTGTCTGCCATTTGGGACCAAAGCTTTTTAACGGACCAGCCCACTTTATCAGCTGTAATTACGCATACTGCCATCTACAGTAAGCCTACAGTAGATCTGAAAGGCTGACAGAAAAGGTAGAAGTCATCCCTAGATCGCTTTGCAAAAGAAAGCTCATGGAGTGAGTTTATTTCAAGATAT